CCCACTACCGCCGTTCATCTACTTTTCTACCCACCTCTCTAACAGCCGTTCTCTACTACTCCACCTCCTCATAGCGTTCCCTCTTTTCTACTCACCTCACTACCGCCGTTCATCCACTCTTCTACCCACCTCACTACAGCCGTTCCTCTACTCTTCCACTACCTCTCTACAGCCGTTCCTCACTCTTCACCTACCTCACTCCAGCCGTTCCTCTCACTCTTTCACTTCCACTAACTACAGCCGTTCCTCTACTCTTTCTACCTACCTCACTACAGCCGTTCCTCTACTCTTTCACCTACCTCTCTACAGCCGTTCCTCTACTCTTCTACCTACCTCACTACAGCCGTTCCTCTACTCTTCTACTCCACTCCCCACTACCGCCGTTCATCTACTTTTCTACCTCTTCCACACTTTCATAGCTTTTCACACACCGCATAGCCTATTTCACCATAACAAATGCGTTTAACGTTCCTTGTTTAATCTCTTGTAAACAAAAGCTTTGTTCTTTTTTTTTACAGTAACAATGTTCTTTAACTGTCTATGGTCGTAGTTCTCTCTCTCTCTCTCTCTCTTCTTTATTATTAATATTCTCCTAGTTCCTCCTTCTTCTAGTCTATTATTAGTATTCTTTAAGTAATCACGGGATGACTGTATCTTTTGTTGCTGTATGATCACTGTACTATAGCTGCAGGAACTGTATAATTAGTACACTTGCTGTAATTGTATGATTTCCCTACTTGGTGAATTTACTGTATAATTTATGGACGTATTTATTGTGTCTATTGTATAATTACTTGCTGTATAATTACTATATTTTCTGTAAGTAATGTACTATATAATTACTGTATCTCCAGCAGTTATTGGATGATTACACTAATAGATACAGCTACTCTATCATTACTATACCTCTTAACAGTTACAGGATGATTACAGTATTTAACCAATGTAATTTTTTTTTTACCATTACAATACTTCCTACAGCCACTATGATAACTACATATTAAAAAAATATTCTTAATCTCAAATACACACGTCCCTCAGTGTCTACAAAAACACATGACTGCCCTTGTTCGCTGGTTACTGACATATGCTCTCCTCAACATCTGGCGCTGTATCCAAATTCCTTCTACTATTTGACAAGAAAGTATTCAATCTCATGCAATACGGCCCTATCAAAGATCCCACTCCCCGTGTCTTCAACTAGCTTTACTCCAAGGTCAGTATGTGTACCCTGAAATCCAACCTAACCATCTACCTTTTAAGTTTAATTTAATACAATGAAAGGCAGTGGTGTAGTTTACTGGAGACAGACTTTTTTTTTTCACTTATGCAAAGAATTGTAATGTTTGGTTATTTGAGGTTAGGTTAGGTTAAGTGTGTGTTTTAAAATTTGGTTAGGTTAAGGTTGGGTTAAATCTAGGTTAGGTTAAAGTACGGTTTATATTTAGCTACATACAGTAGGTTATGTTAAAGTTAGGTTAGGTTAGGGTAATAAGCTAGACAGTAATAAGATATCTGATCCTTTAACAAAATCATTATTCTTTAGTCTCTTTACATCACACACACACACACACACACACACACACACACACACACACACACACACACACACACACACACACACACACACACACACACACACACACTACCAGCCAACGCGGCGACCACCCAACCAGTCAAATACTTGATGGCATCACTGATATACGACATATATAAATGTATTATACATATCAGTACATTAAGTGGTGTGTGTCAGTCACAGGTGGGTGGTCCAGACACGGCTCTCCAGGGCTTCGCTAACCTCCCAAAGATGGCCGGAGAAATAACCACCACCACCTGTCACCTGCATGTGTTGGTGGTGATGGTGGTGATGGTGGTGTTGGTGGTGATGTTGCTGGTGGTGATAGTGGTGATAGTAGTATATAAGTCAAGGTGATGCTTGACTTATGTAGTACTTGGTATTGATGTTGGTGGTGGTAACATCAGTAATGGTGCTGGGTACTGGGAAAGTGGTGGTAATAGTAGTGGTGGTAATAGTAGTGGTGGTAATAGTAGTGGTGGTAATAGTGATGGTGGTAATAGTAGTGGTGGTAATAGTGATGGTGGTAATAGTGGTAATGATGGTAGTATAGATAATGGTGGTATTACTGGAGTGACGTGGTGGGCAGTAGAGATGGTGGTAGTACAACTGGGGTGAGGATGGTGGTAGTAGTACAGGTGAAGATGGCGGCAGTACGTAAGGGGTGGAGGTAGTGAGGGAGGCATGTAAGGGGTGGAGGGAGGCAGTACGTGAGGGAGGTAGAAGTTGGAGTAGCATGTAAGGGGTGGAGGTAATAGTGGGGAGGCAGGTAAAGGGGTGGAGGTAATAGTTGAGGCAGTACGTAAGGGGTGGAGGTATGAGAGGCAGATAAGTAGTGGAGGTATAGTGGAGGCAGTACGTAAGGTGGAGGTAATAGGTGGAGTACGTAAGGAGGTGTAATAGGGAGGCAGTACGTAAGGGGTGGGTAATAGGAGGCAGTACGTAAGGGGTGGAGGTAATAGTGGAGGCAGTACGCAAGGGGTGGAGGTAATAGTGGAGGCAGTACGTAAGGGGTGGAGGTAATAGTGGAGGCAGTACGCAAGGGGTGGAGGTAATAGGTGGAGGTCATGTAAGGGGGTGGAGGTAATAGGGAGGCAGTACGTAAGGGGTGGAGGTAGTGGAGTGGAGGGAGGGGGTGGAGGTAATAGGGAGGCAGTGTGGGAGGTAATAGGAGGCAGTATGTAAGGGGAGTAGCAAGGGGTGGAGGTAATAGTGGAGGCAGTACGTAAGGGGTGGAGGTATAGGAGTACGTAAGGTGGAGGTAATAGGGAGGCAGTACTGTAAGGGGTGGAGGTAATAGTGGAGGCAGTACGGGTGGAGGTATAGTGGAGGCAGTATGTAAGGGTGGAGGTAAAGGGAGGCAGTACGTAAGGGGGAGGTAATAGTGGAGGCAGTACGTAAGGGGTGGAGGTAGAGTGGAGGCAGTACGTAAGGGGTGGAGGTAAAGTGGAGGCACATGCGGGGTGGGAGGTAATAGTGAGGCAGATGTAAAGGGTGGAGGTAATAGTGGAGGCAGTACGTAAGGGGTGGAGGTAATAGGGAGGCATGTAAGGGGTGGAGGTAATAGGGAGTAAGGGGTGGGAGGGAGGTAATGGGTGTGGAGGTAGGGAAGCAGTAATGTAAGGGGTGGAGGTACAGGGAAGGCAGTACGTAAGGTGAGTAATAGTGAGGCAGTACGTAAGGGGTGGAGGTAATGGTGGAGGCAGTACGTGGGTGGAGGTAGATGTAAAGGGTGGAGTAATAGTGGGGGCAGTACGTAAGAGGTGGAGGTAATGGTGGAGGCAGTATGCAGGGGTGGAGGTAATAGTGGAGGCAGTACGTAAGGTGGAGGTAGGTACGTAGGGGGTAGAGGTAATAGTGGGGGCAGCACGAGAGGGAGGTAATAGGGAAGCAGTAATGTAAGGGGTGGAGGTAAGGAGGCAGTACGTAAGGGGTGGAGGTAATAGTGGAGGCACAGCTAAGGTGGAGGTAATAGGGAGGCAGTACGTAAGGTGGGAGGTATAGGGAAGCAGTGTAAGGGGTGGAGGTATAGGAAGGCATGTAAAGGTGGAGGTAATAGGAGGCAGTACGTAAGTGGGTGGAGGTATGGTGGAGGCAGTACGTATGGTGGAGGTAGTACGTAAAGGGTAGAGGTAATAGTGGGGGCAGTGTAGTGAGGTAATGGTGAGCAGCACGTAAGGGGTGGAGGTAATAGGAGGCAGTACGTAAGGTGAGGTAAATGTAAAGGGTAGGAGGGTGGGCAGTACGTAAGAGGTGGAGGTAATAGTGGAAGCAGTACGTAAGGGGTGAGGTAATAGTGGGGTACGTAAGGGGTGGAGGTAGATGTAAAGGGTAGAGGTAATAGTGGGGGGCATGTATAGGGTGAGGTAATAGTGGAGGCAGTACGTAAGGGTGGGAGGTAATAGGGAGGCAGTACGTAAGGGGAGTAATAGGGAGGCAGTACGTAAGGGTGGAGGTAATAGGAGGCAGTATGTAAGTGGAGGTAAGGGGGGCAGCATGTAAGGGGTGGAGGTAATAGGAGGCAGTATGTAAGGGGTGGAGGTAATAGTGGAGGCACATGTGAGGGGTGGAGGTAATAGGGAGGCAGTACGTAAGGGTGGAGGAGAATAGAATGCAGACGTAAGTGGGTGGAGGTAATAGTGAGACAGTACGGGGAGGTAATAGTGGAGGCAGTACGTAAGGGGTGGAGGTAATAGTGAAGGCACGTAAGGGTGGAGGTAATAGGAGACAGTACGTAAGGGGTGGAGGTAATAGTGGAAGCAGGTGAAGGGTGAGGGAGAGTGAGTGGGTACGTAAGGGGTGGAGGTAATAGTGAAGGCAGTACGTAAGGGTGGAGGTAAAGTGGAGGCAGGGGGTGGAGGTAAAGGAGGCAGTAGGTAAGGGTGAGGTAATAGTGGAGGCGGCGTAAGTAATGGTGGCAGTGGTGAAGGTGGTAAGTGAATGACACTTCTCGTACGGTGTGAGCGTGAATGAGAGGCGCTCATGAGTGGGAATATCTCTCCCGGGTTGATAGTACAGTACTGTTCGTGTATGTGAATATTTCAAGGGCTGGAACTACGTGAGTGAGAAGCCACCAGCGTGCGTGAAGTGTGTGAGTGAGTGAGAGCGTGTGTGTGTGAGTGCGTGAGGGCGGGGTGGTAGTGGGGCTGGCAGGGAGGCTGGCGCCACAACAACATACGCGAGCCTTGGAGAGAGTGGTGGCTGGCCTCGCGTCCCGGGGTCAAACGAGCAACTATAATGAGCCACACTAGCACATCAGAGGTTCTACCAGACCTTCCTCAGGTGCTAGGATAACCTAGGAAGGACATGGGATTCACAGACTAGGACCAGTGACCTCTGGGTGAGCAAGGAAGGTCGGTGATCCTGGCGTGAGAGGCCTGGGGTTTAGGGACGACAGTAAGAGGGTCAGGGTATGGCTTACCTTGTTAATATGGGCGAGGGCGTGGGCGTCCGCCCAGCTAGTTCTAGTGCACAAGTCTTCATGCGGGCGGGACCCGGACGCCCACACACCGCCCTCACCAACACTTTCTTCGCCTCCCACGGCGATGGCCATGTCACACTACACAATTCACTGCAGAGCCGCGCCTGCTGCGGCTGGACCTCCACCAGACACAGTGGGCCAGTACGGTATTACATATGGGGCGGCGGCCCCCATCCCTGCCACATGACACCTGCCACTCTCACTACACTGCACTCATAACACCCGCTTGCACGACAATCCATACCACAAGACCAACATGCGTCAACTAAACGATTTCGCCGCACAACGTTGTGTTGTGCCCCGATGGCTGGGGGCGGAGCCTTGGAACCCCACCTCCTCGAGCGCTGATTGGCTGGATGGCGTCGTCATGGCAACGGGGCCGCCTGAGTGCAGGCCACCCACCTCGCGGCCGCACAAGTGGCACCGCCAGAACTACGATAATTTCCAAATATTCGGCGCTAGCAAAGAAGTTTTAGGAGAAGCCGCTGTGCTTCCCCTCGTCCTGTGTTGAGCATACGGCAGGCAGGCTGGCCGGGACACTCTGTACCGCACCACACACCCCTCCCACACAAAATACATCACCAAATGTGACTTGGCCACACACAAGCAGGCGGGCTCGGCGCCGTAGACCCAACTGACAGAAACTCTGTTATAAGCGTGTTTCCTTTTTCTCTAAATATAACATGCAAGAGGCAACTCCTGAGCCTCATTGTCAACAAGTCTCTGGTATGCAAAATGAGTAAACAGTGAGGGAGGAGTTCACTGCTTCCCTCGTGCGTCGTGTTGTAGTTTACCTTACAGTCATGGACGTATGAGGTAAATTAAATCGTATGAGAAAAATCTTAACCATTTCAATCATTCCCTGATCTGCCCCCGAACACATGGCTCTGCTGTCATTTAAATTACACCCCTGTGATCTTGTTGGTCTTATCTCAAGGTAGAGGGTGGCGGTGTTCCCCCGTACGCACGTATGGTCCTCCCGACCCCTCCTGCCTCCTCCGCCAAGTTATCACCTCACGCACGCCGACTCTAAGTTGTTTTCCAGATGGAGTACATTAAATAACTCTTAGTTTCGGAGCTAGTGTAGTGTGTGTAGTGAGCGGGATGTCACATTATATAGTGTGGTCACTATAAACGGGTTGGTCGTTAAAATGCGAGCAGAGAATGAGTCATGATCAGGCCGCTAGAGGGAGGGGCTCACCCTCCCCCTCCCTTCTTCCCTCTCTAAAAAATGCTACACAGTGAATTATATCCTGCCTTCATTACTCCCATATGCAAATGAGGTGCACTAAAACTGCCCTTCATGAGGAACAAAGCTCAGGCCAAAACACCGCAGTAGTGAACACCCGAGTTTATCATCTGCCTCAACTATATATAAAACTGCAGACGATCAGTAAGACTCGCCTCTGACTTATGAAATGCTTCCCCCCAAGACGTTTTTCTTTTTTTTTTTCTTTCTCCCTTTTTTTTCTCTCTGGTGAATATCCGTGGTGTAGCGTTGGGAGGCTGCGATCTGGGTGGTCTGCCAGTGACATCTTCATCTACTCCATCTGGGCCGTGAGCTGTATGGCGCCCGGGGATAGAGGCCTTTCTCCCTGGCCCTCACCTCAGAGCCCCGGCTGTCGCCCCGCCCGCCCTCACCGTCGTTGTGCTGCGCTGCGCTGGAGGTGATATTCCCCTGCACGGCCCGCTGGTTGCCGACTGGAGGTGTCCAGCCCGAGTTTTCTATTCAGTTTAATACGAGGCTGTACGACCCTCCCGCGCCCACCCGTGCTGGTGGTGGGGGCGACGCCGACCATTCAGACAGTTGCCTCGCCCAGTCACCCTCCCAGTCACACTGTTATTAATGGATCCTGACAGTCGAAGGTTATTTTATAGTTCTCTAATACTGAATGGCAGGTCAGCCCAGTCTCCCCGAGTGACAATTATTAATGGAACCTGACTGTCGAACACTATTACGAGACTTTCACAGTCCAGTCAGTCAAGAGTCACGTTATCATAAACAGGAACTGACTGTTGAGGAGTTCATTAATTCACTCCGCCAGGCGCTGACGGAGGTGACAGCGAAAGAATGGTGTCCCAGCTGGTGCCTACACACACCACGGCATAATGTAATAACTCCACCCCAGTTTTTGGTTGACAATTTTAGTTCTCCCACACCAGTGCCAGCAATGTGGACTTGTCTATTTGTCTGCCTGTCTGTCTGCCTGTCTGTGTTTTTATGTCTGCGTATGTTCGTCCTTAATCTACCACACATTCTCTACACAAGCTTGACGATGTTTACCCCTAAGAACCAGCGTCTGCCTCGCATGCATTTCGTTGTTTACCTTTGTACTTGTTGTGGGAGTTTTATCCTAGTCTGCCCTGTGCTTGTCCAGTACTCTCGTCAGGTGCTGGTCCAGTACTCTCGTCAGGTGCTGGTCCAGTACTTCTCTCGTCAGTGTGAGGTCAACTTCCTGAGACTTTGGAGTACTACTATAGGGTGCGATCTACAATGATATCTTTAACCTAACCTGACCTGACCTAACTTAACCTGACCTAACCTGACCTGATTTTAACCTAATGTAACCTAACCAAACCTATTCTAATCTAACGAAACCTAATCTAACCTAACCTGACATAACGTGCACTAGTTTAGTTTGAGTTACCGTAGTAGCCCTCCAAGATACATAGGGAGGAGGAGGGAATGGTATAAGGGAGGGAAATGGTATGGGGAGAAATGTATAAGGGAGGGAGAATGGTATAATGAGGGAATGAGAAATGGTGGAAGGGAGGAGAATGGTATAAGGAGGAGGAGGAAGCGGTAGAATGGTTAGGCAAAAAGGGAGGAAGGAAAAGATAGAGTGATTATGAGGATGGGAGAAAGAGATAAGGAGAGGAAGAAGTGAGATAATGGAAGTTAGATTAAGCATGGAAGGAAGAGATAAGTAAAAAGGGAGGTGAATGAATGTACCTTATCGGTTCTGTGTGTATCCAGGTTATGTATGTGTACTTTGTTACATACATACATACGTACATACATACTTACATATACACATGACACGAGAAATTAACCATCGAGGTCGAGTGACTACCTGTGTCCGTCTAACAACACCAGGTGAGGCGAGAGAGAGAGAACATAAGAACATAAGAAAATAAGGAGTCTGCAATAGGCCGGTTGGCCTGTGCATGGCAGCTCCTGTCGAGAGTTACTACCACTCTCTATCATCCATGAATCTATCCAGCCTCTTTTTGAAACTTTCCAGCGTTTCAGCTTACTACAAAGTTGCTAAGCTTTTCACTCGTCCACCACCCTATTTGTGAACCAGTTCCTTCCTGTCTCCCTCGTAAACCTAAACTTATCCAACTTAAATCCGTTGCTCCAGGTCTATCCTGCTCGGATATTAAAGACTTTATCTATATCCCTTTATTGATTCCTTTCACCCTTAAATACTTCTATCATATCTCCCCTCTTTGTCTTTCTAGGGAATGCAAATTTAGTTTCTTTTAACCTATCCTGATATGGAAGGTTTCTAAGTCCCGGAATCATTTTCGTCATTCTTCGCTGCACCGACTCTAGTGAATTGATATCCATTCTATAATAAGGGCACCAGAACTGAACCGCATAATCGAGGTGCGGCCTGACTAGCGCAAGATATAGTTGCAATAAGACCTCTACTCTTATTACTTACACTTCTAGATATAAACCCAACTCTCTGTTTGCCTTATTTCGAACATTAACGCACTGTTTTCTAGGCCGTAGGTCCGGGCTTCTAGAAGTACCCTAGGTCTCTTTCATAAGTCGACTTCTAGGTTGATGTTGTTAAGGCTGTATACATTATAAGAGTATTTGTTCTTCCAATATTAAGTACGCTGCACTTGCTGGTGTTGAATTTCATTTGCCATTTTCAGACCACCTGCAGTTTATTTAGATCCTCCTGTAATGCATTTGCATCCTACCCTGAATTAATCTCTATTTTGGTGTCATCCGCAAACTTGCTATGTCACTGCTGATCCCAGTATCTAGATCGTTTATGTAGATTATGAACAAGAGTGGGCTTTGTACTGACCCCTGGGGCAACTGGTTACACGACCCCACTCAGATTTAACACCATCTACGCTGATCCTCTGCGTTCTATCGGTGAGCCAATGATTTTATCCAATTTAAAACTTTCCCTCGATACTATGGAGCCTTAATTTTTCTCGAAGCCTCTGATGCGGTACTCTGTCAAATGCTTTGCTAAAGAGAGAGAGAGAGAGAGAGAGAGAGAGAGAGAGAGAGAGAGAGAGAGAGAGAGGCGGAAAACAAAAAGGATGGTAGGAGAGGAAAGGAAAAGAAAAAAAAGGGGGGGTAGGTAGGAAGGAAAGGTAAAGGAACATAAGAACATAAGAATGGAGAAACTGCAGCGGACCTATTGGCCCATACTGGGCAGTCCGTTTACACAACCCCTATTGCTCATATAAGCATCAACCTATGTTTGAAAGCTATTCAGCGTATTCGAGTTAATGATGATATTGGTAACTTGTTCCATTCATCCACTACTGTTTCCAAACCAGTGTTTACCTATTTCACGCCTAAATCTAAATTTGTCTAATTTAAAACCATTGTTACGAGTTCGCTCCTGGTTGGATAGTTATACACCTCTATCAGGTCGCCCCTCGCTCTACGTCTCTCGAGGGTGCAAATTAAGATGCTTTAACCTGTCTCTATACTCAAGGTTCCTAATGCCCGGGTAGGGAAGGGAAGTAAGGAAGGAAAGGGATGAGGAAGGGAGGAAGAGGTAAGGGAACGGTGAGGTAGGTAGGTAGGGAGGGAGGAAGGGAGGGAGGGAGGGAGGGAGGAGAGGTAGGCAGGAAGGGATGGGAGGGAGGTGAGGTAAGCAGGTAGGCAGGGAGGAAGGGAAGGGGGGAGGAGGGCAGCGGGCAGGGAGGGGTACGGGCAGAAGTGGTTGTACGCCCCTCTTGCCCGCACCTCGCTGATGAAGACATTAGAGGCGGGGGAGTGACCAGCCAGACCTGTTCCCGCTCTCCTTCACCCCCGCGCCACAATACTGCGCCTGCGCACATAAAAAAAACGTAATTCCGCGCCTGCGCACTCATTCAGCGCAGTATTACACACAGTCCCCGTAAAGATTGCGCCTCACTGCGTCCTCACACATCGTGGTATTGCGTACTTGACTCACCTTGACATTGCGCCCGCATACCCACACGTCACGATGTTGGGCATGTGTGTGTGTGTGTGTGTGTACAGTGCCACACACCATGACACTGCGC